AAAAAAAAAAAAAAAAAAAAAAAGAAAACATTAATAAAGTATCGTTGGCTTCATTTATAGAGATTACCAAAAATATATGGTGACTAAGAATGAGAACCGTATTTTGAGATTTACGACCCACTTGGCGCATTACTTATTTTCGCATAGACCTCAGGCCGCCGACCCACTTGTCTGCGATAATTCGATCGATAGCAAAGTTTTCATTGATGTTCATCTAAAGTGGGCGATTCTGTCTATAGTATACAAAGTAGCACTTGGCCTAACCGGGACACGGTCAACTGCGTAATGCGGTAATATAAATATGAAAAAAAGGATCGTAAATCTGCAGCGCGTCAATTGAACGACTTCCATAAAGACCAGTTGCCATTGATAGCTAAATGTATATGAGATAAGCCTCGACTAACTGATAAGGCGCCACTGGCTGGGTACCGGGGGCTATAAAAGCGCATGCTCCGGCTACTAATATCAAACAGTAAACTGCGAAGTCAACAGCTGTTAACATGAAACTATTTGTGACTCTTATTGCACTGGTCGTGGCCTCGGCCAACGCCAATATAATTGGTCTGCCTGGCTTCCCTGAGGGCCGCATCATCAATGGTAACGAGGCCCAAGTTGGAGAGGCACCCTTCATTGTCTCCCTACAGACGACCAAGAACGCCCACTACTGCGCCGGCTCGCTGATCAGGAATGACATCGTCCTGACCGCCGCCCATTGCTTGACCTACGCCAACTTCCAGGTGGTTGCCGGAGCTCACAGCCGCTCGGACAAGTCCGAGACTCAGGTGCGCCAGGGCAGCAGCGCCCGTCAGACCATCCACGAGAAATACGACGGCGGCGTTGGCCCCTACGACATTGGTCTGATCTTCCTCGATAAGCCATTCGATATCAATAGCTTGGCCCGCAACGCGCCTGTCGCTACCATCGCTGTGGCCTCCAAGCAGTACGCCACGACCGGCAATGGTGTCCTCTACGGCTGGGGTCGCGACAACTCTGGCTCGTTGCCCGACAAGCTGCAGAAACTGGATGTGGAAATCATTGATTACAAGAAGTGCTTGGATAACCTGCCTAAGGGCAACAAACTGGCCGAGACCAATGTCTGCACCTTCAAGGCTGGCACCACCGACGGCGCCTGCAGCGGCGACAGCGGCGGCCCATTGGTAAACAGGCGTCCCGACGGCTCATACCAACTGGTTGGCACCGTCTCCTGGGGCTACACACCTTGTGCCAGCACCAAGTATCCATCGGTCTACACCGACGTTGCCTCCTACAGGGACTGGATCCAGGATCACATTAACGACTTCTAAGCATTTCTGATAATTCAATAAACGAAATGAACTCTATTGCACTACTTACGTCGTCCCACTTAATGAACTTCTCGCCATCCTGCAGAGCCTTGGGCACCTCCACGCTGGCCGTCGATATGTAGGTGCCGCCTGCGCTCATCATTCTGTTGGCCCTTTTGGTTTGCTTGTTTCCTGTTGTTGTCTCTGGTTGCCTTAACGTTGATTTGGTTTAGCTTATTTTCAATTTAATTTTTGTTGTTTTTTTTTTTTT